AAAAGGTCCACCCAGTACCCAGCACAATGAATGAAATAAATCCACACCAAGAAATATCACAATGAAATTTCAGAACACTGGAAACTAAGAATGAGGAAATGGGATACAGGAAACATTAGATCCACACAGGAAAAGGGCAACGGGAACTCCAAGGATAATGGTGAAAAAAGATCCCAAGATAATATTTAACCATACACCAGGCAAAGAAGGCCAACATGGTCCAGATCAGAGTCAAAAGGCTCCAGGAACCCTTTTTTCCAGGAAAATGAAAATGAGAGAATAACTTATGTGAATTAAGATTCTGAAAGGAGATTTAGACAATTGATAGAAAATTTGCAGGGTCAAATTACAAAGCATAATAAACAAAGCAAAAAATTTTAAAAAAAGGACAATTATGAACTCCAAGGAAAACAAAATTTGTAAAGGAAAGGGAAAGTAATCATGGTTAATCATAAAGCTCAGCAAAGAATATCTCTGAATGAACCATGGTCATTTATACTAATGAAAAATATGAATAATGAGCTTTCCCCAATTAGAACATAACTACATTGAGAGAGAGGAGGATGGAGGTGAGAAAGAGCTAAATGTTTTATCTTTCACAGAGATAAGTTATTACATAATGGCTAAAACTGAAAAATTAAAAAGCAGCAAGATACTCAAAGATGTGAAGGTAAATATCAAAAGAATCAAGTAAAAGCAGGGTTTCTCGACCTTGCCACTATTGGCATTTTGGGCCAGATAAGTCTTGTTGGGGCTATCCTATGCATTATAGGATGCTGAGGAGCATCCCTGACCTCCACACACTAGATGCCTGCAGCAGCTCTTCCCCAACTCAGTTCTCACAACCAACCAAGTCTCTAGACATTGCTACCACAAGGGACAGAACTGTCCAACCTAGTTGAGTGAGAATCACTAGTTAAAAGTCGTTACATCTGGGAAAGGGGAAATGGAAGGGAGAAGGAGCTGGAGATTGCAGTTTTTCTTAATAAACTGTGTAGAATACATATTTAACTTTGGGGAAAATATTTATATTCCTGACATGGTTGACTATATAAAAAACTAAAACATACAGCAAAAATAGCACAATGAGATACCACTCTTCATACACTAAGATACCACTCTTCATACACTAAGATGGCTACAATCAAAAAGATGGAAAACTGGTACTCTCATACAGTGCTGGTGGGAATATAAAATGGCACATCCACTCTGGAAAGCAGTAGATAGCTCCTCAAAAAGTTAAATGTTGAATTACCATATGATCCAGCAATTCTACTCCTAGGTACATACTGAAAAAAATGGAAGTATATGTTCACACAAAAATTGGTAAATGAATGTTCCTAACAGCTGCTATGGTCTGAATTTTTGTGTCCCCCCAAATTTATATGTTGAAGCCTAATCCTCAATGTAGTGGTACCAAGAGATAGTGCCTTTGGGAGATGATTAGGTCATGAGAGCTCTGCCCCCATTACTTCTATTAGTGCCCTTATAAAAGAGGCCCGAGGCAGCTTATTCTACCCCTTCTGCCATGTGAGGACAGAGCTAGAAGGCACCATCTATGAAGCAGAGATTGTAAGCCCTTACTAGACACTGAATCTGCTGGTACCTTGAGCTTGGACCCCCCAACCTCCAGAATTGTAAGCAATACATTTCTCTGGTTTACCACCTAGCCAGTCTAAGGTATTTCATTACAGCAGCACAAACAGGCTAAGACAGTAGTTATTCATAATAGCCAAAAAGTGGAAATAACCCAAATGTCCATCAATGACGAAGGGATAAAAGGTAGTATATCTATACAATGAAATATTATTCAAACATAAAAAAGGAAGTACTAATTAATATATGCCACCAAAAAAACTTGAAAACATGCTAAGTTACAGAAGCCAGACACAAAAGGCTACACACTATATGAATCCATTTATATGAAATGTCACAGAGGTTGAAAGTCAGTAACTGGTTAC